GAGTGTGCTAAAAAATTAAATTTGAGAATGTGAAGGATAATTGAGTATTATGAAAGTACTCTAGTAAATGTCCTGAATACTGAATTCTCACAGATGTTTAATAGGATGCTGTGGCCAAAACCACACAGAGCAAGAAGAGCCCTAAAAGACAATCTGTACTAAACAGGGGGAGGTTGCAACTGATAATGATAAACATAAATAAAGTTAGGAGATACACGCACTTGTTGAGGAAGACCAGAAAACTCAGTGACAGATCCATGGGGAGAAGTACAATCAGAATGAGTCATTTAAATAGTGAATCCTGGTAAATTCACTGCCGTGTTTGTTAGTAAGTTACTGTTTTGAATCGGTTAAACTGTGTGGCCAGGTTTCTCTTGTGAAACTGGGTTTTGACTGAATGTGCTATAATAACCTTCTAGATCAGACAAAATCTTTTCTCCCAGTAGGTATCTACTAGTCACGCATTTTGCCTTTATATTTGCTTTGAATAACAGATAGATTGAGATTCCCCAGGCTTCCTATGGACACATCGGAAGGGCATTTTTTCAAGAACTGAAATCTAAATGGGTGTTATTGTGGCTCTTGGCTTAATGCAGGATTGCCCTGGCGAAATCAGTGATTTCTTAGAGTTTTTAAGGGTAAAAAAACACTTGTGGCTATTTTTCTGAACTTCCCCAAGTCTTTCCTTAGCTTTTCCCAAACTTCCAGCTTCTGTTTGTGATGCAAGGCCCCTAGAGAGAGAGTGGCATCATCCCCGGGGAGATGACTGACATCCAGATGTTTGTTCATGAGCCCATGTCTAGGTTCCCTTCAATGTCAGTGGGCAGAGTACAGTCCCTCAAAGGGTGATTTTTCTCCTGATGTGGAAAGTCCTGTCTCCCTGGGAAGGTCAGATGAAGACACTTGAGCATCTTTTTCTCTTTGAATCTAGAAAACTCAAGAGCAATTTGTAGGTGTCTCTCTTGCTCTGTGTCACTGCTTAAGCAAGATGGGATGCGTCAGACTTGGGTATGTAAATACACAGTCCAGTACTGCATAAAAAATAATTTTATTTCTACTGTCATCATTCTACACAGTATTTCCTGC